AAACTTCAAAACTTTCTTTAAAAACACCTGCTTCACTTAGCAGCAGTCATATTTTACCCTTCTTGTTTACTTTTTCTTTTCAAAAACCCTCTACCTAAGAAGTTAATGGCAAGAAAACTTTTTTAGAAAGAAAAAACCAGACGAAAAAATACTCTTCTTCTCTTCTCTATGGAGGTCCCAATAATCCAGGAAGAAGTGTGGACCAATAATTCCATGTCAGCTTGCTGACATCACTACCATAGGCAGAAATGGCTTCTCTCTCAGTGTGTAGTAGTTTTTTCTTGATTTTTCTAAGGGATTTTGTCTACTTTAGCTTGACCTTGAATTTTCTGTTACACTGGATTCTGGATGGATTGATTGGCTGAAGATTAGGATTGGTTGCTCCATAGTTAGCAGAAATGTAAATAAGGATACACATAACACGTGACGTGAATGTATTTCCTAAGCTTCATAAGAATCTTAGGTCCATCATAAGTTATTGGTTGGAGATGCAGATGGATAAACATCACATGGACTGTGATTTCCTCTCTCTCATTACTATTAGAAAGTGTCATAGTTATGGAATAAGTACCTCTCCTATTGGAATGGAACCTCAAGAACTCACACTACTTTCGAAGACACAATCATTCTTCTATTTTAAAATCACTCTAGGGTTTTTTCATTCTGATCCAAATGGTTTTTTCACCTTCGTATAACACAAAATATCTACTGAACTCACATTCTTTTTCTGAACACACTCGGTAATTGGTAACAAGCCGTAATTATTAGAATCAAAAAGAAAGGTGGATTTTTCCTTTCTTGGAACTAGCAAGTTCACCATGACATGTTAGTTGGAAGAACTCTGAAAGGATTAAAGATCCAATTAGGGGTGTCTAGTTTTTTCTAGATAATAGTAGTAGTAGAAATTTAATTCAACCGGATATCTCCAGGCAACAAGCCACCTGGTAAATCTGTTAAAAGTCAGGTTTTAGGGAGTTTCATTAACATAAATGATATATAGCTCCACATGACAACCTTTGTAATCTCTGCATTAATTTGTATATTACTTTATCAAAGTTAATAAACATGGCTGAGCTTCCATTCCAAAAAAATTAAAAAGAGAGAAAGTAAATACTGTAAGTATTTATTTAATATAAGCTAATCTTATCAAGTTTTTTCAATGTAATTAATTATATAATAATTTTTATAATCTATATTTATTTATATTCAAAATTAAAATAATTTATAATAAATTCCAGGTTCTTATAAATACTAAACCATGTATAATAATCAATAGAAACTTGTTTGTATCTTTTTTACCAATATATTTTCATTAGTCAATCAATGCATAAGAAACTTTGTACTATTTAAAATTCAAGATCAAACTGAGATAAGCAAAAATTTCTAGAAAGGTTATAAAAAAGCACTATTAAAATCCAAGATATGACAAGAGAGTAATATATATATAAGAAATCTCTATCATTTGCAAGCTCTATTGAATTTCTCTGATAGGCGAAAGGATAGTATTGCTTGTATTGTTTAATCATGAGAAGACAGATTTGTTGTAAGGAGAGTATTAAGATTTTATTAAGACTTTATTAACAGGAAATTATGAAACTTCTTGCGAATGTCTTTTTTGTGTGATCAAGGGGTCAGTGGAAAAAGTGTTAAAATTATATCATTGAAATTAAGATCGCAATACTCGATGACTCAAGATCCGACAGTCGCATATACAATATATTTTGTATGCTGAAAATTGTACTGAGGTTCAAATAAAGTTAGCTTGTGCATAAAAGGGACACTAATTATGACGTCACGAATGATTAGGTTAAAGCCGAGCGTATGTATCATCAGATCAACGTGTTTATAAATAGGGAACCAAGTTGCTTAAATTTAAGACACCACCACGATGGATTTGTTAATTCGATAACAATCCCTTTCATTATGGTTTCATTCAGTCGAAAAACCTATTTTCTGCTGCTTGGTGTGTTCTTTTTTTTTAACACCATTGGCCTCCTATGGAAACAACGCATCCATGGCCTTCAAAAAAAAGGGACGTCTCCCTTTTTTGAAAGAAAGCAAATTTCGCATTTTGAACGATCCCTGTCCCCTAATTTTGAAAGCTTATCCGTCAAAGGAAACAGTAGTTTTTTTTATGATTTTAATGTCGATTTAGAAGGATCAGAGGAACAGGTTAAACTTAATATTGAAAGAAACATCAATCATACTAGTGAGTCAGCGAACCTAATCATAATTTATTATTTCAGCCTCAATGTAATGATATCTATGAATATCAAGACAAATGTGAATTCGTCAAATCAAATTGTCAAAACGTCATGTCAGGCTTGATTGATTACCTCCATTTCTACTTTTGCGTGATGCAAAACTGGGAGCTTGTAGCATTACTTATTATGGTATATACATTCCTGCATTTATACGATCAAGAAGTAAAGAAATTAATTTACTATTCCCTTCACAGTTTTTGTGGCTCCTCTTCATGTTCGGATTTATCGGGGTGGCTGCTTCCGATTTCTTTTGCCCAAATTTAAACACCATAGCTTCAAAGCTGAAACTTTCCGAGAGCGTGGTAAATGTTGAGTTTGTACTTTGGTTACATGTCGAAGTCGATGATAATTCATCTCACCATCTAACGAAAAATAAAGGCTGGTGTGACTTTTTTAGCATTTGGTAATGGATCTCCGGACCTTTTCAGTACCTTCACTGCTATATCACACAATTCTGGATCATTGGCTATTGGTGAGCTTATTGGAGCAGCGAGCTTTATAACATCTGTGGTGGCCGGATCTATGTCTGTGGTCAAACCATTTCGTGTTACCAAAGTACCATTCTTGAGAGACGTGATTTTTTTCACAATGGCAATTACACTTGTACTTGCTATTATTTGGGATGGAAAGATATATTTATGGGAAAGCATTGTCTTGGTTTTATTCTATATTACATATGTCAGTGTGGTGGTAGTTGGTAATTGGTGGGCGAAAGGACTGAAAAGAAGAAAATGGCAAGAGCAAAAGGCCAGAGACGAATATAACCCAACTCTTGGAGTTAATGCTGAAAATCCAGAAATTCCGGTCGAAGACGATTATGGTATGATTGACCTATTGCTGTCTCCGTAATTATTAACTTCAAGAGAATTCTAATGGATTGCCTTCTAGGTAGCCAGGATGCGTATGGCTACGAGTCATATGATGAAACGGATCTTTTATTACCAGAAGTGGAACGCCGTGACCGTACAACTCCAATTTCCATGTCAAACATATCCCGACGTGAAGCATCAGAGCATTCATTTTTATCCGCCGGTGAAACAGTTGACCAAGCTATGCATTTCCATAAACACAAAAGACCAGCGCTTCGTGGCACGAGACCTTCATTCTTTGGAGCAATCGAGGTACGGATGCTTACTCCTTGTTTTCGTTGTATTTTATCGTTAACTTATCTCTTTCATTTTCTCTAGTTCCGAGACGTGGTGAATTCGCTCAAATTGGATAGTAACTCTAGACCCTTTGGTGCATTTGGGAGAAGTTACACGTCTGATTTTTATACACGCAGTAGGACACTTCCGTATAATAATAGATTTAATAATGGTGAAGTGCGTAGAAGGTCTTGGGCTAGTTACAGTGGAACAACAGAAAGTCATAATCCGATTACTAGTGATGTGACATTGAACACTTCTAGTCGACTTTCCAATGATTCTCGTCCCCCATCAATTTCGAATATGACCAACTATAGTCAAGAATCAAATTCTGATCAAATACAACCAGACACTCCGAGGCCCCTGCATCTCACGATAGTTCCACCAACACCACTGTCCACATCATCTCTATCCCCTGTTCAATTATATGGTTCACCATTAAGCATGTCTCCTCGAGATGAAAATTTTCAAACGTCACCATTTAACAGCACTTATCAAATGTCAAATGACCTTGCAAGTTTATCACCCAAAGTTTCACCAGTATTATCACCGGTGTTACAACAATCAAAGTCATTAATATCATTGCGGGATAATGTACTATCTACTTTGTTCCCTTCACTCATTGGGTTCTCAAATAAGTCTTTATTTGCCAAGATCACGGCATTAATGGCTTTCCCGGCATTTCTTCTGCTCACACTTACCCTTCCTGTTGTAAGTGTAGATGACTGTTCAACGGGTGATGATGAGATTAATCCGATCGAGAACCAATCACACCATCATTTAGAACCACCTACGATCGTTATCAACGATGACCCTGATCCTGTTATTGTTTCTGATCCTGAAAAAGATGGACCTTGTTGGAATCGCTGGCTGACTGCCACCCAATTCCTACTGGCACCTTTATTCGTTTCTTTAGTTCTATTTAGTCGGTATTATAAAATCCATTTCAGAATTTTTTTGGCATACTTCATTTCCAACACCGTCACACTTTCTTAATCACAGATGACGACCAGCCCATAATGAAATTACTTTCCTATTCGCTGGCGATCGGATTTCTGCTATTCTTGCTTATTATTCTTTTTACCTTCGACGGACGACCACCGATATTTTATTCGTTACTGTGTTTTATGGGATTTGGTGTCGCAATGGTGTGGATATACCTTGTGGCAAATGAGGTTGTCAGTCTGATGGAGGTAAGAATCTTACTCGCCATTATTTGCGATTTGAATAATTTTTTTTTTTTTTTTGTTAATTATCTCAATTTTAGGCTTTGGGGTTGATAATGGGAGTTAGTGACGCCATTTTAGGCCTCACAATATTTGCAATGGTTTGTTTCAACTTCTCTATATCATGTCCCCAACAAATTTCAAAAAAATTTTTACCATCACCTGATCGACCTTCCTTCCATTATATGTCACGGATGTGTAGGGAAATAGTCTCGGAGACTTTGTTGCTAACATTACGGTCGCTAAAATGGGTTTACCCATGATGGCCATGAGTGCATGTTTTGGAGGTCCCATGTTAAGTAAGTTGTCATCTAAACTTCATTTTGACGACGTGTAATTACAATTATATTTTCCGTTCATTATGTGCATTCAGATATTCTCCTTGGCATTGGCCTTGGCGGAACATATGTAACGGCAAAGACCGGGATTCCCTATAAGATCGAGGTCGAGCCAACCTTGTTCGTGTCATCAATCGGACTATTTATAGCATTATTCTCTGCACTTATTTATTTACCTCAAAAAGACTATCATATGACCAGGGCTTGGGGATATTATTTAATTTTGGTATACACGGTTTGTATGATTCTTAATGTGACGCTGGAGATGCGATCAGTGATAGGAACTGTCGGTTAATTTTTGTATTAATAATCTTGAGCATGCATTCCTTTTTTACTTTTTCATGTTTTTTTTTTCTATTTGAATTAACTATCTAAATTATTTATTATAGACTTGGTTTTAAGCCCCCATTTACTAATAAACTGTTTTCGAATTAATTTAATCAATTCCTCTAGTTTGTAATATTAAATCTTCAATCACAAATGAATCATTTGATTTATTCAGCATATTTCGTAACCAATTGACAAGAAATTAATTTTCAAAAATATAGCGAAAAATTAGGGTGCCAATTTTTGCATCAAAAAAATATTTAAAAAAATTTTTTTAACCTGCAATCATATTATCATGATTAGTCTTGTTGAAAAATAATAAAACAACCAATATTATATCACGACAACTAACTCATTTTTGCATATAACAATATTAAAAAATCTAATGAGCTAGTTTGAATTATGCAAAGCAGATTTTTTAATTAGATACTTTAAATCAGATATATAAAACAATGTTTTATTATTAGTTTATCACTATTGATTATTTTGAAATCAATAAATTATTAAATTAATTTAAAATATATTAATATATAAAATAGATTATAAAAAAAATAAAAACTAAAATAAATAAATAAAAATATTCTAAAATATTTTAAAAACTTTATTATTATTATTATTATTTTTTTTTTAATCTGTTATCAAATTGATATGACTTGTTTTTATTATGAATTAATAAAAATAAATGATTTTTTTATATTAACTTGCTTGTCATTAAAAATTTTTTTTCTAAATACAACTTAGGAGATAATATTTTGGTTTCTTTATAGTTTAAATTATTTTTTAATTATGGAATTCAGTTATTTCTATAAATTTTTCAATATTTTATTCCATAACTTAAAAATTTAACTATATTTTTTTTTATATTATCAATCTTTCAATAATATTTTTAAAAAGGTGACATTTTTAAAGTATATATTTTCTATTTTATCTTTTTTATATGGGTAGTTATTTTTGAAGGTACAAAAATATTATTTAAAAAATTTTTGGTGACCTTTTTTATTTAAAATAATTTAGGTTATTTTTTTTTATTCTGAAT